TGTAGTAATTAATTACATGTGTTATATACAATGTTATTGTGGTGGTTAAAGATGTGTTGTATACAACATTAATGTAGTAACTAATTACATGTGTTATATACAATGTTATTGTGGTAGTTAAATATGTGTTGTATACAACTTTAATGTAGTAATTAATTACATGTGTTATATACAGTGTTATTGTTGTAGTTAAATATGTGTTGTATACAACTTTAACGTAGTAATTAGATATTTGTGTCACATACAAGCTTATTATAATAGCGTTCAGGATACTCATTTAACTGTAGTGTAATGTTAACCTTGATCTGTTTGTTACCATCAACGATCGTTCAGAAAACAGAGATTATGATTTCTAACAGCGCACTGCTTTATGTTGCTTAACGGACTTAAATTGTGCTTTAGACCAACATTCTGTCAACTTACATGCAACCAGAGTATTTCTACACACAGAAGTCCTGGTGGAAATAATAATAATTAAATATGGAATTCATATCTATACTAAAATACATACTGAGATAAAATACTAGTAGCTTAATACTCTTGAAATTTTATATGGGTATATTTTCCCCTGGTTTACAGACTGGGAGGTTTTTTGGGGAGATAGACGCCACAGTTTTTAAAGCCATGATTAACCATAAAGTTTACAGAAGGTAAGACTTTTTCTCTCATACAATCTTTAATTCTGATATTGTGTGAACAATTAATACAGTAGAACCTATTATTCTAAACTTTGTTCAATGTAAACTGGAGTTTATTAGGAGACGTTTAGATCCGACTGGATTGGTGAACTTGTACGATATATGGATAGCTAAATATTGAGCTAATAAAGATACAATCTGGAGATATAGGTCGTTATTATATTTACTTTAATACAAATGATAATGGAATCTAAAACTAAAATTGATGGTGGAGAAATCTGAAGATTTTAACAGTTGCTGATGTGAATGTGCTTTATAATCATTATGAACTTAGACTTCGAGATTAAACAATTATGGGAATACTAAGTTTATTTATTATGGTAAACAATTGTTATTTGTAGACTGTCTCTAGATAATTTATAATTGGTCTTTGTACAGTGTTTTGTTACTGCTGAATCTGGCTCTGTCTAGATAGTTTATAATTGGTGTTTGTACAGTGTTTTGTTACAACTGAATCTGGCTCTGTCTAGATAGTTTATAACTGTTGACAGAGCCAGATTCAGCAGTAACAAAATAATGTACAAACACCAGTTATAAACTATCTAGAAAGAGCCAGATTCAGTAGTAACAAAACACTGAACAAACAAGACAGTTTATAACTGTTGTTTGTACATTGTTTTGTTACTACTGAATCTGGCTCTGTCTAGATAGTTTATAACTGTTGTTTGTACAGTGTTTTGTTACTGCTGAATCTGGCTCTGTTTAGACAGTTTATAACTGTTGTTTGTACATTGTTTTGTTACTGTTGAATCTGGCTCTGTCTAGATAGTTTATAACTGTTGTTTGTAAAGTGTTTTGTTACTGTTGAATCTGGCTCTGTCGAGATAGTTTATAACTGTTGTTTGTACAGTGTTTTGTTACTACTAAATCTGGCTCTGTCTAGATAGTTTATAACTGTTGTTTATACATTGTTTTGTTACTACTAAATCTGGCTCTGTTTAGATAGTTTATAACTGGTGTTTGTACAGTGTTTTGTTACTGCTGAATACGTCTCTGTCAAGAAAGTTTATAACTGGTGTTTGTACATTGTTTTGTTACTACTAAATCTGGCTCTGTCTAGATAGTTTATAACTGGTGTTTTTCGATACCTCACTAAAGTGACTCTTGTATTTTGTTTTTCTCAGAGTTCACATCTTTGATTATCAAGCCATTTGCTTGGACGTTAAGATTCCTTCTGGACCAGCCTCTCTACCCACACATGTGAGTGACCAATAGACTGTTAATCACACTGGTGGATAGATAGAAAGATAAATTAATCGTAGATAAATTGACAGTTTTGAGAAAGAATATTATAATTTTCCTTGATTTATATTTCTAGATTAATATTCTTGTTGTGCTTCATCTATCTATTGATTTAAACCATAAAATAATTAATTGTTCCTTGTTGTTAAATTCTTATTTCAGATCCTCCACAACTTGTACTCTCTCATGATTTGGTTGTGGGGCAAGTTCTTACTGTAAGTTGCCTTATTTTGTGTTTACAAATATACATTCACACCCCTATCTTGTGTGAAACTGCTACAACCTTCATTTCCTTATCTTTGGTGAAACTGCTACAACCTTCATTTCCTTATCTTTGGTGAAACTGCTAGAACCTTCATTTCCTTATCTTTGGTGAAACTGTTAGAACCTTCATTTCCTTATCTTTGGTGAAACTGTTAGAACCTTCATTTTCTTATCTTTCTTGAAACTGTTAGAACCTTCATTTCCTTATCTTTGGTGAAACTGTTAGAACCTTCATTTTCAACAGTTTCACCAAAGATAAAGAACCTTCATTTCCTTAACTTTGGTGAAACTGTTAGAACCTTTATTTCCTTAACTTTGGTGAAACTGTTAGAACCTTCATTTTCTTATCTTTGGTGAAACTGTTAGAACCTTCATTTCCTTATCTTTGGTGAAACTGTTAGAACCTTCATTTCCTTAACTTTGGTGAAACTGTTAGAACCTTCATTTCCTTATCTTTCTTGAAACTGTTAGAACCTTCATTTTCTTATCTTTGGTGAAACTGTTAGAACCTTCATTTTCTTATCTTTGGTGAAACTGTTAGAACCTTCATTTCCTTAACTTTGATGAAACTGTTAGAAC